CGCGCGGCCCGAGCCAAGGGACCCTGGTGGCCGCCGCGCTGCGCTCAGCCGTCGCCGCGCCGCTTCATTGCGCTGGGGCCGCGCGCTGCAGGAGCCGCGGGACCCGAGCTGGATGCACCGCCGGACGGCTGGACGGCTGGACAGATGGACGGATGCACGGCTGGATGGATGCAGTGTCTTTGGGGGAAGACGAGTCCTTATCCAAAAAGAAATAAAACAGTCCCGGGCAGCCGCAGGGCGCAGCACAGCCTCCTGCAATTTGCGCTGGGCGAGCGGGAGGGACGCAGGAGGCGGAGAGGCGCCGCTTCCCAGGGTTTGCGCGTCTCCAGGCGACGACTTCTCCAGCTGCGCCTTCCGGCCGGCCAGGGCGCGGGCAGCCGGGACGCGGAGCGCGAGGCTCAGGCCTCCGTGCAACGTGAGCTCCGCGCCACGCCCGGCCCGGCTCCCGCCTCCCTCCCTCCCGGCCGCGGCCCAGCTGCCAGCTCAGACCGCGGACGGCGGCTCTGCTCTGCGCCCTGCCCAGCGGCAGCTCCAGCTCCGGGGAGGATGCAGCCAGCCGGGGAAAGTGGGGTCTCAGGCCAGAGAAGTCGGGGAGAAGGGCCCGCAGCGGGACAGAGGGGAGCAGGAGGACGCCCCGCGCCTGCTGCGCAAGCTGAGGGGAGACCCAGAAAGAGGCAAGGGACTGGCAGCTCGCAGAGGTCACCCGAGAAAAGGGACCGATCAGAGGGCCTCGGAGCAGACAGCGAGCTCAGAGAGGCATGCGGGGTTCGCAGAGCACTGCAGCTCTTTGAAGCAGCAGCCCCTCCAGGCTGGGGGCCCCAAGAGAAAGCAGAAAGAGCGGACCCCTTCTGTCCTCTAAGAGTGACCTGCTGGAGTGTGCGCACCTTGATTTACCACACGAGAGTTGAACACATCATCCCATAGTGATATCTGTTTTATAGCAGCACAGTGCAGGATAGCAAAGCCCGGTAGCCTAGATGCCCGAGAGGGGACCAATGGGTACAGAAAATTTGCTGTTTGCCTGCAGGGGAGTACTACTGAGCCATGAAGAAGGATAAGCTTTAGTCATCTGCAGGAAAATGGGTGTAGCTTGAGACCTGCATGTTAAGTGGAGTAAATCAGACCCACGCGCCTCAATATGGCATGGTGTGTCCTAAAAGAGAAGCTCAGAGAGTAACTAAACTGAAGGGTAGAAGAAGACATGGCTCTACGAAGCAGGGAGACAGACTGATTACAAAAGGGAAGGGAGGGAGGAGATGGACAGAGGGGAGGGGAAGCTGATGTAAAAAAGACCCACATGGGACCTGAGGACCTGATGAGTACCCAGGGTGAGGGTATTTGGTATGTATCACCAACACACAGTGCTTAAAAAAAAAAAAGATATGCAAAACCAGCTTTCTTTCATGAAGCCAAGCATGAAAGAAATTTGCAAAAATAGAAGAGCATCACGGTGGATGGGTGTGGAGGAGGAAGATGCTCACATCATGGTGACCGGGAAGCAGAGGGAGAAGGGAGGAGCCGGGGATGAGAACTCAC